ATTAGTAAAGGTAAGTATGGTTTTGTTATAATCTGTTCGTTTAGACGTTTGAACTTCTATAATTAAGGAGAAATAGACGCAAATGGCATTATAATTATTATTATTATTATTACTATTATTCAGCATATTTGACCCGAAGGGACGTGAAAATCTAAACAATCTATATAAATGCATTTCTTTTCGATATTGTACATTAGATATATTTGTCATTTTGAAAGGAAAGTCACTGGTATGCTACATATTTCGCTTGGGACGTTTGTCGTTTAACACTTTCTGAGGAATTTGTTTAACTTGCTTTAGCAACTCTCAAATCCATCACTTACAAACCAAATATCTGTAGGTTTATTCCCGAAGGCATCCCTTATATTCTCCGAACACGGACTATTGGTTGACGCATGAAGACTCGCTGACGGATTGTGAAACACGCCATTAACTAGTTAAGATAGATTAGGGAACATTCTTCAGTCATCGAAATACTATGTATGCCCTGGTGCCATTGTGTCCGTTCCAACATAAATAAAAGCAACAAAACCCTTTACCATAATCATTTGAAATTTCTGCATAAAGCAGAATCGATTGTACGATTCCGTCCTCATCAACTTAAGTTCAATATGACCACACATGAGGTACTTGTATCATATCCGCTACTTGTAGTAATAGTGTTGATCATATGATATAATTGTCAAGTTGTTGCTGTAGTTATTGTTTGGCGTTAACATTGAAGGTATTGTAACTATGATGTATTACGATTGTGATGCAGTAGTAACTATTATCATTGTGGTCAATTGTAGTAGTATAACAGTTGATATAGTATTGCAATAGCAAGGTACATGTACTCCGTCAAAGTAGATTCCTTGTAGTATCCGACGTGTGCTCAAAGCCTAATCGTCTATTGTAGAAGTACTGTGGGTTTTTGAGATGGTATTACATACAGTGTTAAAGTGTAGGTATGGATAGACAATCATCAACAAAGTCAGAAATGTATTGTCAGAAGTATCTGATGTTGCGCCATGGTCGTGAATATGATTAGGTTGCAATCATCGTCTATACTTTTGTGTCACAACTGTGACGCTTCACCACATCATAGCAAGCACTGTGAAATACACACACCATGCCATGCACTGTGACACACATACCTCATTAGAAGAAGCTACAAGGATGTAAACATTGGATGGAATGACTCCATGAAACAGCACAAATAACGATTCTTTTAGAAATAATATCTTGGAATATTGTAATGTTTCCGGTTATGCATTAGATGTTTTTTACATTACCGAAACGTTCTGACACAGCCCAGGCACCCGGTCCATCTCACAAGGTAAAGTTTTTCTGTTGGAGGAAGGCTTTGTTATCCACCTTATGGTGAAATATGATCACACATTAAAGTTGCTGATTTAACTTTATTTATTGTCACAACAGGTAATGTGTAACAAACTGCACAGTTTACTAATTAATACAAATCATGCCATGCACTGTAACACATAAACACCATATCAAACACAGTGAAATACACACACCATGCCATGCACTGTGACACACACCATGCCATGCACTGTGACACACACCATGCCATGCACTGTGACACACACCATGTCATGCACTGTGACACACACCATGCCATGCACTGTGACACACACCATGCCATACACTGTGACACACACCATGCCATGCATTGTGACACACATACATCCTGTCAAACACAGTGAAATACACACACCATGCCATACACTGTGACACACATAAATCCTGTCAAACATAGTGAAATATACACACCATGCCATACACTGTGACACACACCATGCCATACACTGTGACACACATACATCCTGTCAAACACAGTGAAATACACACACCATGTAATGCACTGTGACACACACCATGCCACACACCGTGACACACACCATGCAATACACTGTGACACACGATGGCATGCATTGTGACTCATACAAAGACTTACACCGTGAAACAAACGCCATGCTATAAACCCTGAAATCCATACACTGAGGGACACATAGGCAGATGGTTTAACAATTGGGCTACCCCACCACCCCCTATGCACTATGATTCACATCGTCACATGGACTGTGTCATAAAATCCACTGTGACATGTATTATAGTATACACAATGAAATACACACTAACACCTACCACGAAACATCCCATCCCATCGCAAAACGTCTTATGTGTGGTTCGGTTTTCTTACACACCTGTGGGTGAGAAACTCATTTGAGACAACTGGAATCTAACATGTGGGTGGATCGAATTCCAGGCCTGTCATTGGCTACTCCTTGGTGATGACCTAAGGTCAGATTATGACGGACTACCTATCTGATCGTAAGTCATTGATGTTACTCATGCTCCAGTCGAATGTTCACCTACATCTGTGTTGAACATTATGGTTTTAGAGTGCCCACTGGATGCCACACTTCAATAAAATTCAAAATACATCACGCACACTAATGAATTCTTTTGAATTCTTGGGGAAGTTACCTGTTGTGTGATATGCACCACTGTCACTTTTAGGCAAAACAAACTTTCTGAAAATGAGCTCTGAAAATCGACTTTGTTTACCGATATCGGAAAAGAAAATCAGCATCGATCATTCCTGATTGATGTGTCATAAAGGCTGAACAAATAACAAGAAACATTTTGCGAATGACATATTTTATAGGTTGGTAAGTGTGCACCATTACTTTTCATTATAAATTTAGTACCGCGATAATAAAGCGTAGCATGCTTCATTGCAAATGTGACCATTTTCGATACATTACTGAATCACAATTCACGGCGTTATTTAATGTAGGTTTAGAAATCGAAATATCGGAGATTTAGAGCGAATTGAATTGAATTTGAAAAATAACATATTTGTGATGACGGGTGTATGTTTTTTCACCAAATCACCACTGATAATTCTGAAACGTCGCCGATAAGCATAGAATTGTTTCGACTATTTTGGAAAGTATGCAAACACGAAGCCCGAAGTGTACTTTCCGCAAATAACGTTTCACATATACTTCAAACTCAGCTGCGACTCATAATCTCTGAATTGCTCATACATTTTAGAATCAAATGACAACGCACAAAGTGTCTAGATTGAATCAAGCGAAATAAATTAGGTGTGGGAGCGAACGCTTTGCTAGTAAAACTGAAGTGTTTGAAATGTAAATTTAGCAAAATTCCGAATTTACTCTGTGTAACACTTTCTCCTATTTTGAGAGTTCCATTCGTCTAATTGTTGCATACATTGGCTCACGTGTTTGAGGATATGCAAGGGACGAGCATCGTAGCAACGAAATATGGAATTAAAAATATATATACATAACAATGATCAGGTAAATTCAACAGAAATCGTAAACGTTTCCATCCTGTGTGACGCCATGACTGACACAAAATCACGCACAACGGCGACGATAGTTATCTGCTTATTTGACTAATTCTCTTGGTATTATTGGAAAACATAAAAACAAATAACAGTACGCAAATTGTCAGACTGTTTCTGATTACTTACATGACACATGTATAATGTAATACATCGATCAACGAAAACCCTCCTCTGAAAATCCCGCTTACTGTTGTCACTGAACACTCCATTTAGACAAAAATCGGTCACCAGTAGTGTTGACATACGGAATAAACGTTGTTGTTCATATATAGCTATTTATTTGAGGTGAAACTATTATGATTACTCTTTCTTTGATCTAATTTAATGTGACTGATCACCATCGCCATGATAATCCACAGATAAGCGGAAACCTTTTCGTGTAGGCTCAAATAATTTATGAGTAGTAAGCAGTACGTTGGATGACGTCATTCATGACCGTTGTGTTATGCATTAATGCGCCATTGTCATCATGAGCATAGACTAAATGCATCGATTCGATGTTGTAATGGTGCGATTTTAGGGTGTGTAAGGGTGCGAGTTTAGGGTGTGTAAGAAACAGATTACTACACTCGTGCCAGTCTGATACCATTCATCTTACAACTTGTTGTTTCAAATCGTATCTGAATAAATACGATTTTAAACAACTCCTTGTAACGTAAATGGTATCTGATAGACACTCGTGTCTTAATCTCTATATATCACGACGTTTCAGCATAATATGACTGCATATGACCCAAAGTGATGCATTCTTCATTTTTGCGAATCCAACATGCACTTTGCACACACAATGACATGTGTGTGTGTGTGTGTGTGTGTGTGTGTGTGTGTGTGTGTGTGTGTGTGTGTGTGTGTGTGTGTGTGTGTGTGTGTGTGTGTGTGTGTGTGTGTGTGTGTGTGTGTGTGTGTGTGTGTGTGTCTGCTATTCGAATATTAAGATTTTAAGAGAATGTGCTTCATCGGCCTTTCCGTGTAGTAAATTCCACGCAAACAGGGCGTTATTGGGGTATTGCCGTGATTGACTTATCACATAAGGAGATCAAATGATTGATAATACTAGTACTGACAACTGATTCGTGCAATTTGTTCTAGTGTTTGATCATTTGAAAAACTGAATTGCCTTTGCGTAGGGCAGGCTACGTTAAGCTTTTCGCGAACACCCGGTATCATCCCTTTTGAACAGTGATTCATAACCATATGCTTATGATTTAGCAGGAATTGTACAGATTGTTAAATGTTTCTGGTATGTGATTGAGAATTGACTTGATTGTGGGAATCTTGAAAATTTTAAATGGACTAGGTATTATTGTCATAACAGTATGGAAGTGGACAAAATAAACACACGGTTGTCAGATTTTATGTATCTGTCACAACTATACACATGACGATTGAGGTTGTAGGTAAATTCCTAACTGGACTCCACTGGACACTCGTGTCTGCAGACTGCACTTTATGGCATCATTCATGTAGCTATGATTACTTTGCATGTATGTTATGCTATGTTACACCATGCTAGTACGCGTTTAGTGCCATGAGAATAGGCCAGATTGTAGGAATGTTGGGCATCATAAATGGACTAAGCATCTTTGTCGTAATTGTGTAGAAATGGACAAAATAAACGCATGGTGGTCAGATTTTATTTATCATTCACAACAACACCACGAAGGTGAAGGCTGTAGTTAAGTTCCTATCTGGACCCCGTTGGTTTCTTGCCCTCCTCCGAGGTCTTCTCAGCACCAGAATAGGGGATGCCGGGACCCCCGGGGCCGCCGGGGCCGCCGGGGCCGCCGGGGCCGCTTCCCCAGCCGTTGTTGGAGAAGGCCACCAGAGAAGGACCTTTCATACACACACCATTACAACATTTCTCACTGTAAGGGTCACATCCGGCGAACCCAGAACAGGACTTGAATTCATAGGTGTTGGAAATCCAGACTTGTGGGCAGACGAAGTTGTTAGCTGAGGGGATGAAAGATATCGTTTGGGATCAGAAATCCGGATTAAGTGTTTAAGTACAAATCCAAAAGATAGCCGCGAGTACACTGTGTGTAAGAATGACAAACAGATTGTTGTTGAATGGCTATTGAGTGGCTCTAATAGTAAGGGCTACTTCATGTCACAGATACGTAATGATATACATGATGACAACAATCTGGACCAGTGGGAAACCAAGCAGAAGAGTACCAAGCATTTATAACACCAAACAATATAAATATCTATAAACCAAGAAACATAGATGCTTACGCCATAGATATCTGCTTACACTAAACATTCCTTGCTTGAACTCAAGATGACACATTCAAAGTGGTCTTTGTCGAGTTGTTTGATTCAAGAATGTCTCTACTGACAGAGTTTTGAAGTTTCGTGACAGGGAAAGACAATGTATAACAATGTAATACAGGGATAGAAATACTCACATACACACTGGCTTTGGCCCATCGAGGAATAACTACACTCAAACCCTTGGGGGCACATTACATTCTGTAACAAAAATACAAGAATGATTTGATCACTATATATGTAATAATTGGTCGATTGTTCCAAATTTAATTTACATGTATATCAACTAGTAACATTGGATTATTCGGATGTAACAGTTGTGTGAATAATGGAAGAATGGGATGATATAGTGAGTGAGTGAGTGCGTGAGTGAGTGAGTATGGTTTTACGCCTGTTGTAGCAATATTCCAGTAATATCAAGGCAGGGGACACAAGAAATGTCGGAAATCGTGGGATGGTATAGAGACATAGACTGTCGAGTAATAGCCACAATTATATTAACATGAAAAAAGCTTCATGATTTCGGTAACGATTTTACCTATTAAAATCTATGAGTTTAAGCGTAATCAACGTTACATTTATTCTACAGAGGGTGCATATAGTTTATATTATTTCTGATAGCCTACCCCACAGTATTGGCCCATCTGGGCAGCGCAGCATGCCAGAAGCTGAAAACAGACAAATATAACATTAAATTCAATAAAGTGCGTATGAAATAACTAAGATTTCATGGAAAATTCTCTTTTTGTTATTGTCTAGTGATTGAATGAAAGTTGTTTAAAAGGGAAGCATGTCCTGCGCTATCGGTAACATCCGCAGCTTACACAATATGTATGTGTTTTGTTGCCTGACGCCTTACAGCAGTACTCCTACCATAAGGCCTGTAAACAATCAAGTCTTGACTAGACACGATAGCGCATTTACTGATTTTGTTGAAACAAGCACCCGATCAGGGATATATATGGAGCAATTATAAAATATAATATAAAAGAATTTTTAGGTGATGCAAGTTATATACTATTGTGTATAAGCATGGGACCATCGAACACGTCAGATTTCTTATGTTCCACTGAAATGAAAGGAGCAAATAAAGTAAAAAAAGAAATACGAGCACGGAAATAACTCACGGCAGCGACCAGGAAACATGTGACTTTCATCATGGCGGATGTCTTGTATCAGGTGGAACTCACAAAATGTGTCGTCTCTTCCTGTTCCATGCCTTATATACAAACACACGTCCTTCCGTGTTGGGGGCTGTCACACGGAGACTGACATGTCTGGTGGATCAGATGGAAGATTACACCTGCATCTGGCACACGTAGAATAATAGATAATCATCATCCAATCTTCATGTCAGTTACCTGGCAACGTCAAAGAGCCAAGTGGCCACCGCTTTGGTCACACGGACAGGGTGATGGAAACAGATGAGATAAGCCCCCAGGTTCGCCAGCCTCCTCTTATTGATCTCCATCGGGTGTAGATATGCAGTCAATTATCTATAGACTGATGGTCAGAATTTCGATCCTCTCTTTCAACTTTAATGCAGTTCTGAGGTCTGGAGATGGTTACACAAAACCTTTTTTTTGCTGATATTATCGATAGTTTTATAATATTTTTTTATGGTAAGTATGGTTTTGTTATAATCTGTTCGTTTAGACGTTTGAACTTCTATAATTAATTCAAAGGAGAAATAGACGCAAATGGCATTATAATTATTATACCTTCTTCAGCTATCCAAATACTATGTATGGCCTGTTGCCATTGTGCCCGTTCCAACATAAATAAAAGCAACAAAACCCTTTACCATAATCATTCGAAATTTCTCCATAAAACAGAATCGATTGTACGATTCCGTCCACATCAACTTAGGTTCAATATGACCACGCCTGAGGTACTTGTATCATATCGGCCACTTGTATTTATAGTGTTGATCATATGGTATATTTGTTGATACTGTAGTTATTGTTTGGCTTTAACATTGGAGGTATTGTAACTATGAGGTATTACGATTGTGATGCAGTAGTGACTATTATCATTGTGGTCAATTGTAGTAGTATAACAGTTGATATAGTATTGCAATAGCAAGGTACATGTACTTCCGTCAAAGTAGATTCCTTGTAGTATCCGACGTGTGCTCAAAGCCTAATCGTCTATTGCAAAAGTACTGTGGGTTTTTGAGATGGTATTACATACAGTGTTAAAGTGTAGGTATGGATAGACAATCATCAACAAAGTCATAAATGTATTGTCAGAAGTATCTGATGTTGCGTGAATATGCATGGTCGTGAATATGATCAGGTTGCAAATCACCGTCTATACTTTTGTGTCACAACTATGACCATATCAAGCACTGTGAAATACACACACCATGCCATGCACTGTGACACACATACCTCATTAGAAGAAGCTACAAGGATGTAATGAAACAGACTCCATGAAACAGCACAGATAACGATTCTTTTAGAAATAATATATTTGAGTAAATAATGTTTCCGGTTATTGATAATATTTTATTTACATTACCGAAACGTTCTGGAACAGCCCAGGCACCCGGTCCATCTCACAAGGTTAAGTTTTTCTGTTTGAGGAAGGCTTTGTTATCTACCTTATGCTGAGATATGATCACACTTTAAAGTTGCTGATTTAACTTTATTTTATTGCCACAAAATATCAATGTTCCTAGAGGTAATGTGTAACAAAGTGCACAGTCCACTAGTTAATACAAATCATACCATGCACTGTGACACATATACATCCTGTCAAACACATTGAAATACACACACCATGCCATGCACTGTGACACACACCATGCCATGCACTGTGACACACACCATGCCATGCAGTGTGACACACACCATGCCACGCAGTGTGACACACACCATGCCATGCACTGTGACACACACCATGCCATGCAGTGTGACACACACCATGCCATGCACTGTGAGACACATACATCCTGTGAAACACTGTGAAATACACACACTATGCAATGCACTGTGACACACATACATTCTGTGAAACACTGTGAAATACACACACCATGCCATGAACTGTGACACACATACATCCTGTGAAACACTGTGAAATACACACACCATGCCATGCACTGTGACACACATATATCCTGTCAAACACAGTGAAATACACACACCATGCCATGCACTGTGACACACACCATGTCATGCACTGTGACACACACCATGCCACACACTGTGACACACACGATGGCATGCATTGTGACACACAACATGCCATGCACTGTGACACACCATGCCATGCACTGTGACACAAACCATGCCATGCACTGTGACACACACCATGCCATGCAGTGTGACACACACCATGCCATGCACTGTGAGACACATACATCCTGTGAAACACTGTTAATTCACACACCATGCCATGCACTGTGAGACACATACATCCTGTGAAACACTGTGAAATACACACACCATGCCGTGAACTGTGACACACATACATCCTGTGAAACACTGTGAAATACACACACCATGCCATGCACTGTGACACACATACATCCTGTCAAACACAGTGAAATACACACACCATGCCATGCACTGTGACACACACCATGTCATGCACTGTGACACACACCATGCCACACACTGTGACACACACGATGGCATGCATTGTGACTCATACAAAGACTTTCACTGTGACACAAACCCCATGCTATAAACCCTGGAATCCACACACACTGAGGCACACATATGCAGATGCTTTAACAACTGGGCTACCCCACCACCCCTATGCACTATGATTCACATCGTCACATGGACTGTGTCATAAAATCCACTGTGACACGTATTATTGTATACACCATGAAATACACACTAACAGCTACCACGAAACATCCCATCCCATCGCAAAACGTCTTATTTGTGGTTCGGGTTTCTTACACACCTGTGGGTGAGAAACCCATTTGAGATAACTGGAATCTGACATTATTATGTGTGGATCGAATTCCAGGCCTGTGATTGGCTACTCCTTGGTGATGACCTAAGGTCAGATTATTACGGAATACCTTCCTGATTGTAAGTCATTGATGTTATTCGTGCTCCAGTCGAATGTTCACCTACATCTGTGTTGAACATTATGGTTTTAGAGTGCCCCCTGGATGCCACACTTCAATAAAATTCAAAATACATCACGCACACTAATGAATTCTTTCGAATTCTGTGTAAAGTTACCTGTTGTGTGATATCCACCACTGTCACTTTTAGGCAAAACAAACTAAGCCTTACTGAAAATGACCTCTGAAAATCGACTTTGTTTACCGATATCGCAAAAGAAAATCAGCATCGATCATTCCTGAACAAATAACAAGAAACATTTTGCGAATGACATATTTTATAGGTTGGTAAGTGTGCACCATTACGATCCATTGTAAATTAAGTATCGCGATAAAATAGCGTACCATGCTTAATCGCAAATGTGCCCATTTTCGATACATTACTGAATTATAATCCACGATGTTTTTTACTGTAGGTTTAGAAATCGAGATATCGGAGATTTACAGCGAATTGAATTGAATTTGAAAAATAACATATTTGTGATGACGGGTGTGTGTTTTTCACCAAATCACCACTGATAATTCTGAAACGTCGCCGATAAGCGTAGACTTGTTTCGAATATTTTGTAAAGTACGCAAACACGAAGCCCGAAGTGTAATTTCCGCAAATCACGTTTCACATATACTTCAAACTCAGCTGCGACTCATAATCTCTGAATTGCTCATACATTTTAGAATCAAATGACAACGCACAAAGTTTCTAGATTGAATCAAGCGAAATAAATTAGGTGTGGGAGCGAACGCTGTGCTAGTAAAACTGTACGTGTTTGAAATGTAAATATAGCAAAATTCCGAATTTACTCTGTGTAACACATTCTCCTATTTTGAGAGTTCCATTCGTCTAATTGTTGCATACATTGGCTCACGTGTTTGAGGATATTCAAGGGAAGAGAATCGTAGCAACGAATTATGGGATAAAATATATATATATAACAATGATCAGGTAAATTCAACAGAAATCGTAAACGTTTCCATCCTGTGTGAAGCCATGACTGACACAAAATCACGCACAACTGCGACGATAGTTATCTTCTTATCTGACTAATTCTCTTGGTATTATTGGAAAACATAAAAACAAATAACAGTACGCAAATTGTCAGACTGTTTCTGATTACTTACAAGACACATGTATCATATACTCACTCGATCAACGAAAACCCTCCTCTGAAAATCCCGCTTACTGTTGTCAGTGAACACTCCATTTAGACAAAAGTCGGTCACCAGTAGTTTTGACATACGGAATAAACATTGTTATTCATATTTAGCTATTTATTTGAGGTGAAACTATTATGATAACTCTTTCTTTGATCTAATCTAATTTGCCTGATCATCATCGCCATGATAATCCACAGATATGGCGGAAACTTTTTTGTGTAGGGTCAAATAATTGATGAGTAGTGAGCAGTACGTTGGATGACGTCATTCATGACCGTTGTGTTATGTATTAATGCGCCATTGCCATCATGAGCATAGACTAAATGCATCGATTCGATGTTGTAATGGTGCGATTTTAGGGTGTGTAAGAAACAGATTACTGCACTCGTGCCTGTCAGATACCATTTATCTTACAAGTTGTTGTTTCAAAGCGTATCTGAATAAATACGTTTTGAAACAACTCGTTGTAAGATGAATGGTATCTGATAGACACTTGTGTATGAATCAATATATAACACGACGTTTCAGCATAATATGACTGTATATAATCCAAAGTGATGCATTCATCATTTCGGCGAATCCAACGAACATGGGTATGGTGCTGACATACCAAGGATGATCATCGGGTAGAAGTCGGGATTCAAACTCAGGATCAGCAGATCCTTGAACGACTGAAATGACGTAACTTTGCCCAGCGAATTGCAGCTGTTTTAGAGGACCGGGTGGTCCTCCCTCTTACATACCATCACATGAGCTTTGCACACACAATGACACAAAATGTATGCGTGTGTGTATGTTTGTTTGGTTGATTGATTGATTTTGAGTGTGTGTGTGTGTGTGTGTGTGTGTGTGTGTGTGTGTGTGTGTGTGTGTGTGTGTGTGTGTGTGTGTGTGTGTGTGTGTGTGTGTGTGTGTGTGTGTGTTTGTTGTTCGAATATTAAGATTTCAGGAGACATAAAGAAAATGTGCTCCATCGGCTCCACGCAAACAGGGCGTTATTGGGGTATTGCCGTGATTGACATATCAC